GTCATAATCCTCATCATCCTCTTCCAGCTTCGAGCTGAGTTGTGCGAGATGAAGAGGGTCTATGGCCATCCTGTCCATTTCGGTAATCTCATCAACTTTGACATCAGCAGCTGAAGCCTTTTCTTTTGATTCTTCATCTTCGACATTCAAATCGGATTTGGTTGACTCAGCCCCACCATCAGTATCATCTTTGTTCTTTTCCTTCATTTCCAAGGGGATGGTATTAGTGTTCATTGGACAAGGGACCTGTTTGAAGCTAATAGATTGGATGGGAGTTGAGCCAATAGGTTCAACCACCTCGAGATGAGTCTCAGTGGCTCGGCTGGCACGGCCCCGCCCTCTCCCCCGGCCCCGCCCTCTTCCTCTCCCACTGCCGCTGCTCGTGTGGCTTGTGTCCTGATACGTGTGCAATCTCCAGTGAGCAATATATGGACTGGCACCAAGTCAATTTAATTGTATTTTTTCCTATACTTATTTAATTTTGTGACCACCCTAAGCATAAGAGGTCATTTTTCTTTGTTTTACTTGAAACTGGTTATTTTAGCTTTGATTGTTTCACTACGGACAAGTACCAGTAAATTCTAGTGCTTCTTCTATTAGTGAAGTTTCTAGAAAAAAAAAATATATCAAACGACGCAATGCACCTTGGGTCGCTACGGAAACAGCCTCCTTGTATAATTACAAGGGTAAGGTCTGCGTACAACTGACCCCCCAGACCCGAACCAGTTGGGAATATACTGGGTATGTTGTTGTTGTTGTTGTAGAGAGAGAGAGAGAGAGAGAGAGAGAGAGAGAGAGAGAGAGAGAGAGAGGAAAAGTGTTTACCACGCTGTTCCTTTTGGACTCTTCATCACTATCGTTGGTTTCATTGGCAACTAATTTCCTGGCAAAATATTGAATAATCAATTTAATTAGTGTCATCCTGGGAAACTAAATGAGGTAACACACGGAGAAATAGAATACCTTCTCTTCGTGACATCAGCTGCGGTGTCAGAATGACCATAGTCGGGAACTTTGCTGACAACTTCCTTAAGGAAGTCAAACACATTGTAACTATGCACACAATGTTTCCTGCATAAGGGGGATAAAATAGGAATCAATATGATCGTAAAATACTAGAAATTTAATGGAAAGCCAACGTTTAATGAAATATGAGATTTATGACAATTACATAACTGCTAAAAAATGCCCTATTTGTTTCACAATAAATGTTACGAGTAGCACATACCCGCCCTTAAAGAAACCAAGGGCACGTATATGTTGTATGATGATGATGCACCACTGAGGATGGTTTAGACAAGAATACCTTGAAGCTGCAATCAGCTCAACCAAAATATGTCTTAAGTTGCAGCAGCAATGGATATTTTCAGACACAACATTGCAGGTGAATAAGAATCAAGTAAAGATTAATCAGTGGAACTTCCTCTTCGACCATCTTAAGAACTTAGCATCGGCCATATGAACATACAAGTAATATAGCAAAATTCGCTGTTCAGCATTTTCCCCTCCATTTGATAAATTTTAACAGATCACTCAACTTCGAAGAAAAACTATACGAGATGTTTCGTTTCTTCGCAAACTTGAGATGTGTCCACACACTTTTCATGATTACATGCACCACTCAACCAAACAGGTGAATTTTAGTTCCCGAGCCCCCAACAGAAATAGAAGAGCATATAATTTAATTTTAAAAAACAGCATGTGAAGAAATTTGCTATTTCTACTTTATTATTGTTTTCTCAGAGACAAAACAGAAATTGGGGTCACTGTTGTACCTAAAGCTGCCAATACATTTAGCTTCCAGAACCATTTATGTTTTACCCACCATCTTTTAAACTCAGCCCCATCATCTTATCACATATAACACATCCTTTTAGAGAACGCAATCCCCAAGTTCCACCAAAAGACCTGACTTAACCTTTTACATTTACCATGATAGGACCAGCATTAGAAAAGTACGAAAGAACAAATTCTCTTGATCCTAATAGAATAAATTGTAGCTCAAGAACAAACCAGAGAAAATAATAGGAGATTTGAACTCCGTCAATTAAATAGGCATAAATCTGAAATGTACAATTCTACACATAATCAAGAAAACTTGGGTTCACATATTCATGGACTCCAAAAAGAGACAACATTTATTGTAAAATGATTTTTCAATCTCTTTCCTAAAATGACTCGAAAAACATTGAATGGAGAAAAATAGATGTGGAGAAACAGAAAGAGGTTTAACGAGGCTTCAGAGATGTGATATGTACATAGATATGGCCAAAAGCCGGCACGAAACCGCCAGTCAGTCCCAGTCCCAGCTTGGAACTGGCGTGGCGGTTCAGGCCCAAACGGTAAGGGTGATTATGTGTCGGAGATTAAAAAATCTCCGGAACCCTACTGGAATTCGGATACAAAAAAATTCAACATCTCTGGTGCCGTACCATAATGGGTTTGGTTAAGAGATTTTACATGTTTGTACGGTTTGGTTCAGTATTCAGAACTATCAAGATGGTTCGGTTCGAGGCTCTAGAGATTTCTAACTATTTTTCAAATTCTATGAATGACTATCTAGTTATATTTAAATTTTGATATGCTGTTATTAAACCAAAAAAAAAAAAAAAA